CTCCATCACTGTCTTGCCAGAAGGGTGCTTTACACTACAGTTTTTAAACTGCAACATTAACACCCCTCCTTCAGAGTGCAGGCACTGTACTTCCCATCTCCAGGACTCAAGTCCGGCCTGCCGGTTTCCCTGAATCCCTTCATAAATGTTACTTTGCTCACACTCCAACAGCACGTCAAGTATTAAAAACCATTTGTCTCCATTCACTCCTATCAAACACGCTCACGCATGCCTGCTGGAAGTCCAAGCCCCTCGCACACAAAACCTCCTTTACCCCCTCCCTCCAACCCTTCCTAGGCCGACCCCTACCCCGCCTTCCTTCCACTACAGACTGATACACTCTTGAAGTCATTCTGTTTCGCTCCATTCTCTCTACATGTCCGAACCACCTCAACAACCCTTCCTCAGCCCTCTGGACAACAGTTTTGGTAATCCCGCACCTCCTCCTAACTTCCAAACTACGAATTCTCTGCATTATATTCACACCACACATTGCCCTCAGACATGACATCTCCACTGCCTCCAGCCTTCTCCTCGCTGCAACATTCATCACCCACGCTTCACACCCATATAAGAGCGTTGGTAAAACTATACTCTCATACATTCCCCTCTTTGCCTCCAAGGACAAAGTTCTTTGTCTCCACAGACTCCTAAGTGCACCACTCACCACAACCTATATATATATATATATATATATATATATATATATATATAGGTTGGCCATGACTGTGCTGAGGGGTGATCCCATGGCCATGACAAATGACTGCCCGGCCACAGACTTCTCAAAAGAGAAACATAGTTCATAGAAAGCTTAATACCGTCCAGGAAGTGTTTACTAAAAATCAGGAAGACAAAATCTATCTTCCACATCACTTTCAGATCCTCCTCCTCCTCCTTCATATTATTCGTTTCTTGTCATGTCTCACCATTTTTCCCTTAGGTACTTCCCATGTTTTTTCTCGTGTCCTCCCTTTTCATTCCTCTTTCGTCCATTTTTTCTTCACTACTTCCTTTCCTCTTTTTTTCCCCACTTCCTTACCTTTTAATTCTCTCTTTCTCCCTCCAATCTTTGCTCCTCATCTTTCTTTCCCTAAACTTCTCCCCTTCTTTCCTAATTACCTTCTCCCTCTAGTACCATCATTGCCCAGTGGCTTCTTCCCTCATCCCCTGCCTACCACTACTCTTCCTCTCCTGCCTCCCCTCCTCTTCCTCCTTCACTACCAGCACCTCCTCCACCATCACGTCTTCCTCCTCCTCCTCCTCTTCTTTTTCTTTCCCCCCCTCCTCTTCCTCCTTCACTACCAGCACCTCCACAATCACGTCTTCCTCCTCCTCCTCCTCTTCTTCTTCTTCTTTCCCCCTCCTCCTCTTCTTCTTCTTTTCCCCCCTCCTCCTCCTCTTCTTCCCCCCCTGCTCTTCCTCCTTCACTACCAGCACCTCCTCCACCATCACGTCTTCCTCCTCCTCCTCTTCTTCCACCTCCTCCTGGGCTCTGCCCTTCCTGCCTCATAAGCGGGAGTGGCGGCCATATTTTAGATGCTGTCAATTACTGAGATTGCTCGCCGGTGGACCTAAACCCGCTTTATTGCGTCTTTCTCCCAGGCGGCGAGGACGCAGGCCGCCAGGACGCAGTCGGCGAGGACGCAGGCTGCCAGGACGCAGGTGGCGAGGACGCAGGTGGCGAGGACGCAGGCTGCCAGGATGCATGCGACGAGGACGCAGGCTGCCAGGACACAGGCGACGAGGATGCAGGTGGCGAGGACGCAGGCTGCCAGGACGCAGGCGGCAGGGCCGCGTGCGGCTACTTCGAGGTTCACCCTGAGCACCACCTCGGCTAACCATTCAAGCCGGGGTATAGGGCTCTTGATTCGAGGAACTGGAGCTACCCTCCCCTTCCTTGGAGCAAATCTCATTTGTTCTTATTTCCAAGGAAGTGTACGACTGGCACTCACTCCTTCCTTAGGGAAGGAGGGAATGCAGGAGGGAGGGAGGGCAGGAATGAGGCAGTAAGGGAGGGCAGTAGAAGGGGTAAAGGGAGGGAAGGAAGGAGGGAGGGAGGGAAGGCAGTAGCAGGTCTGGAGATGATCCCAAGGCGACACTTCCCGCACTAATTTTATGGCCGACCATTGATTGTGATGTTTCTGTGGCTGTTACTGCTGACCTGCCATCCCCTGCCCTCCACTGTCCTAGTATCTACCGTAATCATCAATAAAATTAAAGATCTGAGATTTCAAGAGGGCTTTGACCTACCTGTGATATGCCTGTGACTAGTTTCGAAAGTCTTCCTACTCCTGTAGCCCACGCTAAGGCCAGACTTCATGCCTGTTACTGCTGGCACCGTGCAGGACTCAACAGTCTGGTTGTTCATGAGTAACAAAAAAAAAAAGGCACAATACCGTGACTGGAACGATACACAAATAACCCGCACATAAAAGAGAGAAGCTTACGACGACGTTTCGGTCCGACTTGGACCATTTACAAAGCTTTCACCTCTCCTCCAGCAACACCTCTAGTATGTGATGGTAGCAGGTTGAAGAGTCCTGGACCACGCATGCTGACACAGTGTTCTCTTACTGTTCCCATGACGCCCCTCCTTTTCACTGGCTTTATTCTACACTTCTTACCGTATCTCTAAACCCAGTTAATAAAATGGCACAACACAAGAAAAAATACAAAATAAACAATAAATACTACAGCATAAACACAACACTAATAAACCTTATAACGTCAAGTTACAATAACAAGTATTAGTTAACAATCACATCAGAAGGTTAATTTTAAAAGACTCCTAAAAGTTCCCCGAGGTCCCTACAGCTACCCTGGTAATTATTAAAAATATGATGAAAGTTAAAACTCGTAAATCGTAACTATGATGAAAATGTAAATTCGTAAGTCGTGAGCAAATAGCTGAAATGTATTAAATAGTAATGTGTCACAAGCTACACAGAGAGCAAAGGGGACAAGAGCACCTGCAAGCAGGTGGCTATGAGGTGTGTGTGGGTGTGTGTGTGTGTGTGTGTGTGTGTGTGTGTGTGTGTGTGTGTGTGTGTGTGTGTGTGTGTGTGTGTGTGTCTGAAATTCAATCAACAGGATCCTTTCAAACTGACGATTTCTGTTGGAGGAGAAGCTGACACCCACATCCTGCTGAATGTTGTATAAGTGAAGAACACAAGAACATAGGAAAGAAGGAGCACTACAGCAGGCCTACTGGGCCATGCTGCCATGCTGTAGGCCTTTCCCTGGGCTCGCATCTTCCCGTGGACATGACTTCCCTGTAAGGCAGAGAAGCCATGGGTTACATGAATTCACTGCCTAATCAAGCAAGCTTGTTATAGCAGCCTTCGCCTCGACATCTGCCTATTCATTCACCAGGACACCAAGACGGCCCAGACACCAATAAAACTCCACATCCATGTGCTGTGTGGAGCACGACTAACTACTCCTGTATCTTTAATGCAAGTCAGTCTTCGCTCTCCCTTCATATGAATGAGGAACTCCAGATCCTTGTGCTGTGTGTGGAACAGGACAAACTGTCAATGGTGCAATACCTGGGTAGAATATACATGTACCAATATCATTATATTCACCATTCCTTTGTACACCAAGCTGGTCACGTGACCTTCTTGGTATACAAAGAGATGGTATATATAATGGAATTGGCACGTGTATATACTGCACAAGTATTGCACCATTGATATAACTACTCCTGTAGCTTAGAAACCACGTAGAGTACATATAAAGATACACGGAGGTATTTGTATGCAAGTCACTCAAGGTTCTCCCTTCGTATGTAAGAGAAACTACCTAGATGTCTCCCAGGGAGAACTTTAATAAAGTCTCCAAAATCAGTTCTCCATCAACCAGGCCATGACACCTATAAACACGGCTGGACAAGCCATCAGAGCCATAGAGGCCATGTTTCTTCTTACTAACATGACTGAGAAAGCCATCAAAGTCATAGAGGCCATGCTCCTTCTTTCTAACATGACTGAGCAAGCCATGAGAGCCATAGAAGCCATGCTCCTTCTTATTAACATGACTGAGCAAGCCATGAGAGCCATGCTCCTTCTTAACATGACTGAGCAAGCCATGAGAGCCATAGAAACCATGCTCCTTATCAACATGACTGAGCAAGCCATCAAAGTCATAGAGGCCATGCTCCTTCTTACTAACTTGACTGAGCAAGCCATGAGAGCCATAGAAGCCATGCTCCTTCTTACTAACATGACTGAGCAAGCCATCAATGAGGATAGCCATGGGGACGACGACCCACCCTCGGTATTCGGAACAGCTGTACAACAGGTAATCACGTAATTAAGATCCAGGAAAATTTCCTCAACCAATTAGCAGGTAAATATTAAGACTTAGACACATGTGTAACATCTGGCTATCTTTATTGTAGACGTTTCGCCATCCAGTGGCTGAGGGACTGATTACCTCGTCTTCTGTATACAGTTCTACAGTCTTCCCATTATGTCCTTGAATTTGTATTGATAAAGCCACTGGTGAGCGAAACGTCTACAATAAAGATATCCAGATGTTGCACGTGTCTAATTTTTCATCTTGTCGGTACTGTATACCATACACAAATAACCCGCACATAGAAGAGAAGAGCTTACGACGACGTTTCGGTCCGACCTGAATCATTTACAAGTCATACTAACACACGAGAGTGAGGGAGCAGTACATTATATATATATATATATATATTATATATATATTATATATATATATATATATATATATATATATATATATATATATATATATATATATATATATATATAGGCGAAGACAGGAACACAACAGAAAAAGTGGAGTGGTAGAGAAACTGTTGGTAGTGAAAGTAGTAGTAGTAGTAGTAGTAGTAGTAGTAGTAGTAGTAGTAGTAGTAGTAGTAGTAGTAACAGTAGAAAAATTAGTAGTTGTAGTAGACAGTAAGGGAAGTAGTGTTCCGTATATGATAACACGTAGGGGTAAATATTAAGTAGGTTACTCACCACGTCTGGTGTGGAGGCGCCGTCAGTATGGGTGGTATCGGCCGAGGCTCGGCCAGCGGCAGCCGCTGCCGCGTTGTTGTTAGAATCACCACTGCCCAGGTCAGGCTTGGGACCGTCGCGTTCGTCAATCACCAAGTCGATGGGCATTTTGCCCTTCAGACACGATATGTACCGGTGACAGAAGTTGTCACAGAGCTCGTGTACCTGTGGGGAGGAGGAGGAGGAAGGCCAACCATGAGATACTTAAATAATATTTATGTCACATGAGATTATAACATAACACTTTGCATGTCACATAAGAGTAAATTAACACTTGTCACATAAGTTAATAAATAACACTTGTCACATAAGGCACTAAAATAACACTTGTCACACGAAACACTATAATAACATTTGATATCACAGACGAGAGTAAAATAGCACTTTACGTCTGAGGATAAACTATACTAAGAGTGAAAGTGCTAAGATTCAGGTGTTTACACTAACATCAGTGTGTGGCTGGGTAGAGTACACTTGTCACATTACACTGCACACCACGAGAGGCACCGTAATATACACCCAGTGAAGCATACACCGAGTGGAACACACACCCAATGAAATATACACGCAGTAGTTAAACACAGACGACACGACGCGACGTACAGCGAGGTGCGATATAAACAGTGTAGCGACACACACACACACACACACACACACACACACACACACACACACACACGGAGAGCCACAATGAGTGACACAGCGTGTACCAGCAGCAGTAGGAACAGCTCTGAGATGCTGCGTGTCCTGCCACACCAGATTAACATGTGCTAACTGGGGTAAACCTTTAAATCATCTGCAACCAATGGCGCCGAAGAGGGGAAAACACGCCTCTGAGGGGATTAGCTGGTGGTGAGGGTCGGGGAGTGCCTACTCCCTTTAACCTGTCACGGCCAGACACAGGGGTGAGGGGAAGCTGGGGATGGAAGGAGGGGAGACACACGAGGAAAACAAGGGGATGCCCACACTGGCGTAGAGGCAATAACCTGCAGGATAGACGTTGCATTATTAATCTGTTTTCCTAAGATGTGTGAGTGAAGTGTTTCCCCTCACTCCCCAACCCCAAAGACCAGCTGTTTTCCACCCAAAGACCAACTGTTTTCCCCCAAAACCAGCTGTCTTCCCCCACAAAACCAGCTGTTTTCCCTCCACCATAAAATAGTTATCTATCAAAAATTAAAAACCTTTACTCTTAACCTAAATGCAAATTCCTTTTTCAACCTGCACAGATAATGACAGTGTACTTTTAACCTCAGATGATGGTATACTGTCATGATCTTAAGGAGCAGAGTGTACTATACTAACCTCATACATACTCCATACACCAGTAATCTTCCAAAGCGATATACAACAGTAAGTAATATTACACACACACACCAGTGATCTCATACACACGACATACAACAGTACTCTCTCTCTCTGTCTCTCTCTCTCTCTGTCTCTCTCTCTCTCTCTCTCTGTCTCTCTCTCTCTCTCTGTCTCTCTCTCTCTCTCTCTCTTTCAAGCACAAATCTTATACACACACACACATAGTATATTGGTAGGGAAGCGCTAATCCCATATGGGTCATACAGCTTCAGGAGAATAGAAGGCAATCAAATCCGAGCAAAGGAGAGGTAGTTCTAAGTGCTGGAATCAAGAGCCCTTGGCCAGTATCATGGCCCCTATTTTTAAGGCTGCTCAAATATATTACAAAAATCAGGTAAAAATTCATGGAGGTTGAAATACAGTTTGTGTTGAAAATTAGTCCACTTGAGGGGACACAAGATCCCCCTTCCCCTCACCCTTCCCCTGACTCTACCCCATCACCCTCACCCTTGCAACACAACTCACCAACAGCTGCTTCAGGGAGGGAGGGAGGGAGGGAGGGAGGGAGGGAGGGAGGGAGGAGAGAGAGAGAGAGAGAGAGAGAGAGAGAGAGAGAGAGAGAGAGAGAGAGAGAGAGAGAGAGAGAGAGAGAGAGAGAATGTGTGTTTGTGTGTACTCATCTATATGTGGTTGCTGGGGTCGATTCACAGCTCCTTCTCCCGCCTCTTCGCTGGTCACTACTAGGTCCATATGTGTGTGTGTGTGTGTGTGTGTGTGTGTGTGTGTGTGTGTGTGTGTGTGTGTGTGTGTGTGGTGTGTGTGTGTGTGTGTGTGTGTGTGTGACCAGTATCAATATCCGCCTGGTCAACCAGGCTGTTGCTGCTGGAGGCTCGCTGGCCCACCTATCCATTACATCTTGGCTGATCTGGCAATCACAACCAGAGACATACATGGAAAGGCTGTGTGGCAACTCACAGCGTCCAGCTTCAGAGCAGTGCTAGCAGCAAGAACTTAGTTGACCATAACACCAAGCAGGAGGCACGGGCCACGATCACAGGAAATCCCAGAAGATAACGTCAAACTAATATTCTATTTACACAAATGGAGGACACTAGAACACCGCAGACTTACCCAATTATCAAACACTTTCGACACTGTTCCCATACCAAGGCAATTAAGATTCTGTTAAATGGCGGAGGAGCAGGTGTACAGGGCTTTAAGGGAAGGTGAGTGAGAGGTGTGACCTTAGGCATGGTGAGGGGAGAAGGTGAAGGAAGGAGAGGGAATAGCAGAAAGTGAGAGAGACGTTACGAGAAAAACGTGGGGAGGAGAATGTATGGGGTAGATGAGGGGAAGAAGGTGAGAGGGGAGAAAGAGGAAGAAGGTGAGAGGGGAGAAAGAGGAAGATGAAAGGGGAGAAAGAGGAAGAAAGTGAGATGAGAGAAAGAGGAAGAAGGTGAGAGGAGAGAAAGTGGAAGAAAGTGAGAGGAGAGAAAGAGGAAGAAGGTGAAAGGGGAGAAAGAGGAAGATGAGAGGGGAGAAAGAGGAAGAAAGTGAGAGGAGAGAAAGTGGAAGAAAGTGAGAGGAGAGAAAGTGGAAGAAAGTGAGAGGAGAGAAAGTGGAAGAAAGTGAGAGGAGAGAAAGAGGAAGAAAGTGAGAGGAGAGAAAGAGGAAGAAAGTGAGAGGAGAGAAAGAGGAAGAAAGTGAGAGGAGAGAAAGAGGAAGAAGGTGAAAGGGGAGAAAGAGGAAGATGAGAGGGGAGAAAGAGGAAGAAGGTGAGAGAGGAGTGAGAGGAAGAAGGTGATAGGGGAGAAAGAGAAAGGAGAGAGGGGAGAAAGAGGAAGAAGGTGAGAGGAGAGAAAGAGGAAGAAGGTGAGAGGAGAGAGAGGAAGAAGGTGAGAGGAGAGAAAGAGGAAAAAGGTGAGAGGAGAGAAAGAGGAAGAAGGTGAGAGGAGAGAAAGAGGAAGAAGGTGAGAGGAGAGAAAGAGGAAGAAGGTGAGAGGAGAGAAAGAGAAAGAAGGTGAGAGGAGAGAAAGAGGAAGAAGGTGAGAGGAGAGAAAGAGGAAGAAGGTGAGAGGAGAGAAAGAGGAAGAAAGTGAGATGAGAGAAAGAGGAAGAAAGTGAGAGGAGAGGAAGAGGAAGAAGGTGAGAGGAGAGAAAGAGGAAAGTGAGGAGGAAAACATGTGACTGATAGAAGACAAGAGGAAGAAAATAAGAGAGCAGTGGTTTGCGCTATAAAGCGACGGCCACACATGATGACACACCAACCATACATGACAACAAGAAAGTTACATCCACACCTTCCTCTAACGACGTTATCTCTCCCTTTCTTTACGTGTTTCTCCAATGACATTATCAACCTTTGCGCATCCTTCTTAAATCACAAGTTCTTTATCTCAGTAGTCCGTGCGATAGATCGTAAACTAGCTAGACATTCTTACAAGAAAGAGCCAGACTTGAGTAATGGTGTTGGGGAAATAAAAAGAAACGAAGAACAAGAGATGCTTGAAGAAGGGTTCTCTTGTCTAGGAAATGTAGAGATATTTCTAGATTTTAAGATGTGCTGTCGTATAGAGAGAAGAACACGGGTAAGACGTTGTTTAGAAGCAGTCTCTAGTAATAACAGCATTAGTTTGATAGTAATACTAATACCTTCAATAACAGCAGCAACGACAACATAGACATTGGCTACAGCAGGAACAGCAAAGACGACAGCAGTAACACAACCCCGAGTAACTACGACAGCAGTAACACAACCCCGAGTAACTACGACAGCAGTAACACAACCCCGAGTAACTACGACAGCAGTAACACAACCCCGAGTAACTACGACAGCAGTAACACAACCCCGAGTAACTACGACAGCAGTAACACAACCCCGAGTAACTACGACAGCAGTAACACAACCCGAGTAACTACGACAGCAGTAACACAACCCCGAGTAACTACGACAGCAGTAACACAACCCCGAGTAACTACGACAGCAGTAACACACCCCCGAGTAACTACGACAGCAGTAACACAACCCCGAGTAACTACGACAGCAGTAACACAACCCCGAGTAACTACGACAGCAGTAACAACCCCGAGTAACTACGACAGCAGTAACACAACCCCGAGTAACTACGACAGCAGTAACACAACCCCGAGTAACTACGACAGCAGTAACACAACCCCGAGTAACTAAGACAGCAGTAACACAACCCCGAGTAACTACGACAGCAGTAACACAACCCCGAGTAACTACGACAGCAGTAACACAACTCCGAGTAACTAAGACAGCAGTAACACAACCCCGAGTAACTACGACAGCAGTAACAACCCCGAGTAACTACGACAGCAGTAACACAACCCCGAGTAACTACGACAGCAGTAACACAACCCCGAGTAACTACGACAGCAGTAACACAACCCCGAGTAACTACGACAGCAGTAACACATCCCCGAGTAACTACGACAGCAGTAACACAACCCCGAGTAACTACGACAGCAGTAACACAACCCCAAGTAACTACGACAGCAGTAACACAACCCCGAGTAACTACGGCAGCAGTAACACAACCCCGAGTAACTACGACAGCAGTAACACAACCCCGAGTAACTACGGCAGCAGTAACACAACCCCGAGTAATTACGACAGCAGTAACACAACCCCGAGTAACTACGACAGCAGTAACACAACCCCGAGTAACTACGACAGCAGTAACACAACCCCGAGTAACTACGACAGCAGTAACACAACCCCGAGTAACTACGACAGCAGTAACACAACCCCGAGTAACTACGACAGCAGTAACACAACCGCCAACAAATACGGCAGCAGTGACACACCCCAGCAACTACGACAGCAAAAGCAG